TGAAAAAGGCTGCTTTCTTAATAGTTTTTTGGAATGTAAACATATCTGCAGAAGTAACAAATTGGCAGGCTTATTTGCTTACTTTCAATGCATTCAGTATTTCATTGCAAGTTTTAGCAATGTTTAGCAATAACAGTTTATTTTTATGCAAAATGTGCTGGGTTTGCAGTTTATTGACTGATAGCTTATTGATGGCCTAAGAAAAACAGATTATGTAATATCTTAATAGTGTTTTTTGATGTCGGCATTTCCTATGACCTTACTCATAAGGATCTGTTGTAGAGTTCATTTTCTGGATATTACCCTTTTCTTCGAGGTAACTGTATGATGTTAAAGACACTTAACTTACAGAGTTTTGGATTATTACTTGAAATTTGAGGAACGTGGGTCAGATGATCTCACGCTTCTTTTAACTCAGATATTCATTGTTTTGAATTCTTCATACATTTTATTATTAGAAAGGATGTACATCATTTGATAATAGTGAAATTTTGTTTTGTGAGTAGGCTCATTTAACCATAATAAAAGATATAAGAAAAAAGAATTTAGAAAAATAATGTAATGAGGAAGTTATGGAAATCAAAACTAATTGGCAAAACCCCCTTTTGGATAATTAGCAAAAGTAAGAAAATAACCTACTAAACTATCATTCATAATTAGCAAAAAATAACCTGAAATTATGAGTTATAAAATTTCTGAAACATATAATGATATGTTTGTATAGTGGAAATGGTTTTATAATTCTTGGCAACTATTTTTTTTTACAAGTTTCTCCATATTTGTATTATTTTTGGAACCCTCTGGAGTGCCTGTTTCATAGTATTAGTAATTAATATTTTTGAAATGTTAGGTTCTCACATTGCTTTATTTTAAATAGGTATCTCCCTCACCTACATTGGTAGATAATTTATGGATTACATTGTAGATTAATTATACTGTTGGATATTGGACTTTACAGTTTCTAATATTACTAATAATAGCAAGCTTTTATTGACTTCTTTGTGTTGAATATGATACTAACTTTATTAATTCAACATATATTTATTGAATTCCTACTATGTCTCAGACAGTATTCTCTATTCCGGGGCAACAGCAATGAAAAAAATGAGGAAAATCCCTGTTCTCATGGAGTTTACATTCTAGTGAGGGGACAGACAAAATAAATAACGAAAATATACATATTATGTGAAATAGAGATAAGTGTAAAGGAAAAAGGGAGAGTAATGAAGGAGGTAACAGGTTTTAAGGATGGGTTTGGGAATTGTAATTTTTGATTAAGTGACCTAGTAAGACTTCACTGAGAATTTAATACTTGACAAAGACCTAAAGGAGATGAGAGTGGGCCATGCGGATCCCAGGGAGAAGAGCATTCTTCCCCTGGATGATAGACGGAACAAGGGCAAAGGCCCTGAGACAGCAGCATATTTTTTTTTTTTTTAAAGATTTTATTTATTTATTTGACAGAGAGAGAGACAGAGAGAGGGAACACAAGCAGAAGGGGAGGGAGAGGGAGAAGCAGGCTTCCTGCCAAGCAGGGAGCCCGATGCGGGGCTGGAGCCCGATGCGGGGCTCGATCCCAGGACCCTGGGATCATGACCTGAGCCGAAGGCAGAAGCTTAACGACTGAACCACCCAGGCACCCCTGTTTTATCTAATTTTAAAGGTCATGTGTTCTCACTGTAAAAAAATTCAAACAAAATAGAAAAGTATAAAAAAGAACTAGAGCCTTCACTGTTAACCAGGAATAACCTTTTATCCCTTTCTTTCTCTCCTCCCTTTCTTCTTTCTCTGCCACCCCCCCCAACTTTCCTCTTGTTGGATTGACCCATCCGTCATTATGTAATGACCTTCTTTGTCTCTTATTATAGTCTTTATATTATAGTCTGTTTTGTCTGATCTAACTACCCAGCTTTTTTTTGGTTTCATTTGCATGGAGTATCTTTTTCCATTTCTTCACTTTCAGTCTGTGTGTTTCCTTATATCCGAAGTGAGTCTCTTGTAGTCAGCATGTAGATATGTCTTGTTTTTTTTTTTAACCCATTCAGCCATTCTATGTTTTGACTGGAGAATTTAGTCCATTTACATTTAAAGTAAGTATTGATAAGTATTTACTTATTGCCTTTTTGTTAATTGTTTTCCATTTGTTTTGTATTTTGTCTCTGTTCCTTTCTTTTCTTACTCCTTTCCTTTGTTGTTTGATGACTTTAATAGTATGCTTAGGTTTCTTTATTTTTTGTGTATCCACTATAGATTTTTGCTTTGTGGTTACCTTGGGCTTGCACATAACAACATGTATCTAGAACAATGTATTTTTTTTTTTTTAAGATTTTATTTATTTATTTGACAGAGAGAGACAGCGAGAGAGGGAACACAAGCAGGGGAGTGGGAGAGGGAGAAGCAGGCTCCCCACAGAGCAGGGAGCCCGATGTGGGGCTCGATCACAGGACCCTGAGATCATGACCCATGCCTAAGGCAGCCGCTTAAGCGACTGAGCCACCCAGGCGCCCTAGAACAATGTATTTTAAGTCAATAACAACTTAAGTTTGATCCAGTTTTAAGGTTCTTCATTTTTACTCCCGTCTCCCATGTTTTATGTTTTTGATGTCATATTTTACATCTTTTTATCTTGTGTATTCCTTAATTAAGTATTATAGTTATTTTTACTACTTTTGTCTTTTAACCTTCATACTAGCTTTATAACTGATTAATCTGCTACTTTTAGTATATATTTACTTTTCCAGTAAGATTTATTCGTTCACATTTTCTTGTTACAAATTAGCACCTTTTCTTTTCAGCTTAAAGAACTCCCTTTAATAGTTCTTGTTAGGCCAGTTTAGTGATGATAAGCTCCTTTAGCTTTTGCTTGTCTGGAAAACTCTGACTCTAATTTACTTCTTTTTTAAAGATTTTATTTATTTATTTGACACAGAGAGAAAGAGACAGAGAGGAAACACCAGCAGGGGGAGCGGGAGAGGGAGAAGCGGGCTCCTGGCTGAGCAGGGAGCCTGATGCGGGGCTCGATCCCAGGACCCTGGGATCATGACCCGAGCCGAAGGCAGACACTTAACGACTGAGCCACCCAGGCGCCCCTACTTTACTTCTGAATGATAACTTTTTTGGGTAGAGTGTCCTTGGATGAAAGTTTTTTCTTTCAGGTTTTGAATGTATCTTGCCACTGTCTTCTGGCCTGCAAAGTTTCTGAACAGTCTGCTGATAGTCTTATTGGGGTTCCCTTGTGTGTAACAAGTTGTTTTTCTCTTCCTGCTTTTAGGATTCTCTCCTTCTTTTTAACTGTTAACATTTTAATTATAATGTGGCTTGGTGCAAGTCTTTTTGTCTTTACCTTTTTTGGAACTCTCTGGGCTTTCTGGGTCTGGATGACTGTTCTCTTCCCAAGGTTAGGGAAATTTTCAGCTATTATTTCTTCACAAGTTTCCATAAGTAGCACATGCCGCTATACCTCCTGCTGCGGAACCTGCTTTTTTTCTTCAACATGCTAGGTATCTCTTTCTGCATCAGCAAACATTGCTGCACATTGTCATTTTGCAGACTCCGTAGTATTTCTTCTTACTAATATATATTAATTTAATTACCTAGAACTGTGCTGATGAACATTATACTTCTTCACAATTATTTGTAATTAATCTCTATTACAAAAAATGTTGTAGTGAATTTTTTTAACACATCCATTTGTAGATGTGTGTAGTTATCTCCTCAGACTACAGGCAGGTTTCTTAGATCAAAGATTGTGTTCATGTAGAATTTCTATATTGCCCTGCCATGTTCCAGAAAATTTTGTCTGTTTTCATTGCTTCAGCAGTTGTTTAGCAGGGCTTTATTATACTTGAAGTCTTGTTCATCAGCTCTCAGCACTAGTCTTCAGTAAGTAACTCTCATTCTCTTTTTTTTCTTTTTTTAGCCCTCTCTTTTGGTGTCTTTTCTTGAATTATTTATCTTCTCTGTGGTGGCAGCAGTGACTGTTAAAGTTGTGTAAGATGCAAGATCATGAACTGGACATGAAATAAATGCAGTCTAATATGTGATTATCTTATAGCAACTACCAAATACTGTTACACCTAGCATATTGCTATATGTGTTTTTAAACAAACATTGTGGAATGTTATACCTCTCAAATCCTTGATCATATTTATATAAAAGTTTCATCTATAAATGTCAACTTTATATCTGCTTGGAGGAACTAACATAATACATTATTAACTTTAAAAAAAAAAGATTTATTTATTTTAGAGAGAGAGAGAGCACATGTGGCAGGGGGGAGGGGCAGAGGGAGAGAGAGAGAAAGAGAGAATCTCAAGCAGACTCCTTGCTGAGTGCAGAGGCAGGGCTTTATCCCATGACCCTGACATCATGACCTGAGCCAAAAATTAAGAGTTGGCCACTTAACCGACTGAGCTACCCAGGCGTCCCCGCTAATAACTTCTGTTTTTGTTTTGTTTTTTTTAAACATTTTTATTTATTTGTCAGAGAGAGGGAGAGAGAGAGAGGCAGGCAGAGGGAGAAGCAGGCTCCCCACTGAGCAAGGAGCCCTATGTGGGGGTCGCCCCCAGGACCCTGGGATCCTGACCTGAACCAATGCAGACACTTAACCAACTGAGCCACCCAGGTGCACCCAGTATTAACTTCTTAATAATGTTTTAGTCCATACTCATTTATTTCCCAGAATCCTCTTGTAGACAAAAGAACTTGTGTTTTTAGGTCTGACTGATGTATATTCTGACTTCAGCTTTGCTGCTTACCTAGTTGTATGTGAACCTCACTTAAGTTTTCTGGGCTTCAGTTCATCTGCATAATTGGGGTATATTTGATTGCTGTCTTTGAATGATTGCTCTAAGAATCAAAACATTGGGTGTGAAAATAGTATAGTGGCTAGCAAATATTAATAATTCAGTACTTGTTCCGTCCTTTTCTTTTGTGGCATGCAGTAATACATACTGTTTTTAGATATATATTCACTATCATGTATACTATTGCCTTCACAGAAATCTTCTCTACATATACCCTCAGAGTCTCAATTTTGCCAATCGTCAAGGTTCTGCAAGAAATATAACAGTTAAAGTACAGTTCATGTATGGGGAGGATCCAAGCAATGCCATGCCGGTAAGAAATGTTCTTTACTTTTCCTGTTCTTCATATATGGTTCAGATAAACTTTCTTTTTTACTTAGTTGGCAGCTCTAAACTGGAAATTAATATTATCTTGTAAACCAAGTTTCTAACTGCATTACTTCCTGTATAGATAGTACAAGTTTACTTGAATTCTTTTTTAAAAGTTTTTATTTAAATTCCAGTTAGTTAATACACAGTGTAATATTAGTTTCAAGTGTACAATATAGTGATTCAATACTTCCATCTTAAAGTCTTAATTATTGAGGGGTTGGTATATGCTAGTCACTCCCAGAGATACAAAGATGAATAAGACTTGTAACCTAGAGGATATGAGATAAACACATAAAATTCTGAAATAGTGACTTACAAAAGAGGATCAGAACAGAATCACCTAGGGTACTCTAACGAAGCACAGATACATATATTTTTTTCTATTCTTGTCATCTGTGATTCTGATGCTTCTCCTTTAGAATGAAAGGCCAGGTAAGGGAGGTGTAAGTTGATGCGTAGTATATGAGGTTGTGGTATAGGATGGAAATGTTCCCCACACGATTCTAATATATATGATTTTTCCCATGTTTGTTAAGAAATCCTGATAATAGTGCACATTACACTTACCTAGGGAGCTTTTAAAAATACCAGTGCTCAGACTGAATCTTACTCCAATTAAATTCTAGTGTCTGGGGGTGGGAACTAATCATGTATCAGTATTTTTAAATCTTCCCAAGGAATTACGTTTTGCAGCCAATACTGAGAACCGAGGTATTTGCTAAGTGTTAGAAGATTGCTATAGGGATTCAAAGGCATAGATGTACACTAGTAGGAGAGAGTGTCTTGCCGAGGTAATAAACAGGTATCACCTGGGGGAGGTATATCTGAACTAAAACCAAAGGTGTTTAAAATGTAAATGGCATTGGGTCTTAGACAGTGGAGGAAAGAAAGCAGCTGTCTCAAGTTGGAGAATGTCCTTCAACAGTGTTACAACGGTGGGTTGCCAGTGAGCCAGAGCAATGTAAGATTAAGTCAGAAATGCTAGATTGAGGCCAGACTGGGGAGATTCTTTTTTTTTTTTAAGATTTTTTATTTATTTGAGAGAGAGAGAATGAGAGACAGAGAGCATGAGAGGCAGGAGGGTCAGAGGGAGAAGCAGACTCCCTGCCGAGCAGGGAGCCCGATGCGGGACTCGATCCCGGGACTCCAGGATCATGACCTGGGCCGAAGGCAGTCGCTTAACCAACTGAGCCACCCAGGCGCCCCAGACTGGGGAGATTCTTGATTGCCCAGATTGTCATTTAGGATTTGGGGAACATTAATGCACATTCTGTGAAATATAATGTAAGTTCCATGAAAGTAGATTTTAGGCCCAACTAAACTTAGTAACATATGGAGTAGGAGCACAACTGTCACTGTAGATGTTCAACTTCTGAGAACCCTAGTGCAATGAAAATGAGCTTAAGAATAGGTGCATTGTTAACAGAGTTTTATTTTAGCCTTCTGTGTCAGTCATTAAATCAAGTTCTGATTTTCTACTTACTAGGAAAGCTGTATATTTTCTCTTTTCCTATTGTCCCCATTTCATCCGCATTTATAGATCTTGACAGGAACAAGTACAAATTATTCATCTTTGTAATCTTCTATGGCAGCTGCCTCAGATCTTTGCATATAATACCTGCTGAATAAATATTTATTGGTAAATGTAGAATTTATTTTTGAGGTTTGGAATTAGCATTTCATGTTCTTTATTAGTTTTTTATTTCTGCTGAAGGAATGAATGTACTATCACAGTTGATGAAAAGATTGTGAAAATGGGTGCTTTGTTATGTGAATTGCCATATGGATTTGAGCTAATGACAAATGTAGTATACATAAGATAATCTGTTGTTATTGTTTGCCTAACAAACTCTTCCTTGTCTTAGCATACATATGGCCTTCTCTGCAGAATTCCAGCTGCATCCAGCCACATTGGCAGTTAGACCACTCCCTCTTTAGGTGCTACTATGCATAGCATCTTCTCATTTCTTTTATGGGCCTTATCACCTTAAGATTATATGTTTATTTCTTCATCTTGTCTACTAGATTGTGAGCTCCTTGAGGGCAGGGACCATGTCATGATTGTAACCTGATGCTTGTCATAGTGCTTGGCACAGAAATGATCCTCAGTCTGTGTTGATGAATGGTTAAAAATACCTGTCAAATGGTCAAAAAAGGGAACACTTCCCACTTCTTATCATTCATGTTTTGAAAATAAATGTGTTACTTTGTGAAAAATGATAGTTTCTCAGGAGGAAAAAAGGTACTGCAATCCTTTCGCTTGTGTGTTATTAATCATATGAAAATATAATGCTTTTATGTTTATCCTAGTGGCTGGTTGAAAGTATAGAAACATAGACACATTGTCCTGGCTTAATTTTTTAAAAAATAAGGACTACTCAAATGGATCCTAAGATAATTTTTTGATCATATATTGATATGATAAAATCATAAACTTCACATTCTGTTATTGGAACATTTTATAAAAACATGGTAACGTATTCTTAGCAAATTGATGAAATTAGACTTATCTATGAGAGTCATAATTATTACACCTTTACACACCTTCAAAATAAAAGGACCTGCTTGAACTGTTACAAAAAGAAACACAAATATCTGTTAATATGTTCTTTTTATTTACGGATGGTACCAATTAATCCCTTTGTGTAAGATACAAAGTTTGAGTTATTTTATCAGTTGTGTTGATGGAAGTGTGATGACATGTCCATGTACTTATTTCTGCATATGTAGAGATGGCTGGCCAGACGTAAGAGCTTAACTTATGGCTAGATAACATTGCAAGCCTAACTGTCTCACACAGGAATTGTAAGCCATTTATCTAATCAGCTGCCCTAATTAACTATAATGTTGCTATTAGAACTCAAGAGGCAGATATACATACAAGACTGAATTATTTTACCTCTAACTCTTCTCCAATAGTATTGTACTTTTTTTGTTGTGGTGGATTTTTTTTTTTTAACACATCCGAAAGAATGTAAGAATGGCGCTCTTCCTTCTTTATAGAGTAGTTTATAAGAAATACTGGAAGCAAAAGATACATAGCTTGACCTAAAGTAGGATTTTTAAATATCATTTATAAATAATTTATATTTGACTTACAGAATGATTACTGTTTTAGTAGAGAAGCCACCAATTTGTGTAGTAGATATATACTACCATTCTAAGACCATATTTCTTACATAAATTCCAAACGATATGCTACATCCAGATTTTAAAATGAATTGTTCACCTTCTTTAAGAAACAGAAAATATAATGGGTAGAGACTTTTCGAATGTTTGAATGTCAGATGGGTCTATAGTTGAAAAGAAATTTACAACTAAGCAATTGAATTTATTAATGAGCGTCAGTAGGCACATTGTTCTTCATTGGGCTGATTTTGCCCATTGTTCTCCAGTAGTTATTAAATCAGACAAATTCTTACATAGATATGAACATCCAGCATTTATTACAACAAAGTTTCAACATGCTGTTATTTGTTACAGGTAATCTTTGGTAAATCTAGCTGTTCAGAATTTTCAAAGGAAGCCTATACAGCCGTAGTATATCATAACAGGTACTGAATTCAAATATTTCTTTCAAAGTTACTCACTTCTCAGTGGCATTGTTAGCACTCACGTTAGTGTGTTTACCAAATGCTTTGCTGCACTGAATGTGCAAATTCAAGACAGCTGACATCAGAGTTATAATTTTCAACCTGTAGATGCATATTTTTCATAGACATCAAATATAAGACTTTATACACAAAATATCTTTCATATCAAATTCTCTGACCCTTTCATTTTTATTATACTGTTATTGATTATCATTGTGGCCTCTGGTCCTTTGGACTTTCTCTGTTATTTTCCCCTCGACAATTTGTAGTTTTACTTAACTCTTTACTAAGCTTACAGCCATTAGTCAGTTAAATTGGTAGTATTCTCAAAATCTAATAATCCTTTGACTTAGGACCCTTCCAATTTACTTCTTTCGGAAATTTTTAACTTTGGATAACTTTTCATCTCTACTTTCTTTTCTTTTTATTTTGATTATTGAATAATGCTGTTGGAGAAAAATCACAAAATTCTACCAATCAAGATGATCACAAATTGACGTCGTTTTATCCATATGATTGGGCTGCAGAAATTCATTTTACTTTATTTCATCTTCTTTTCGGCCCCACCACTCTTTGGTAATCTTGCCATCGCTTTTTTATCCTCTGTCATTTGGCAAGACATATTTTAAGCCTTTCTCCTCCTTTCTCTAGCTCCTACTTATTCTCTGTTTGCCTTACTCTTAGCATTCCTACTTTATTAAGTCGATTGAGACCATCCAACTTGAGAACCATCCATTTGTGTACTCTTTACCTCTGATGATCTCTGCACGGGTCTGCCTTTCCTTCTGGTTCAAGGGCAGTCGGGGCGCACACTTGGCTCAGTGTGAGTCTTTCCCCTCTGCTTTCCTCCAGTCTGATCCTTGCTCTTTCACTCCGTCACTTAAGCCTTCTCTTATCCCATCAGTCCCTGCTTCACTGGCTCCATCTCTTACTGTCAAAAAAAAGCTTGTTTCTTGTACTTAAAAAACAAAACAAAGGTCTCTCTTCAGTGTTGTTGTGTAGCACGGTTTTTCCTTGCCCTCCTTAAGACTTTATTCTTTCTCACCCTTACTTAACGACCCTCTTTGTTTCCTCCCATCTCTGTGGACAGTTTTTTGTCTGTAATAATTGCTGTAATTTTTCTTTCTTTCCTTTTTTTTTTTTTGAGTATAGATATTCCATACAAAACAGTAAGGTTTCACCCATAACCTTCTTTTTCTATACTTTACTCTCCGTAAATAATCTTATATGTATTTCTCAGAGTTACAGTCAGCGAAAATGCTACTACTTTTATCTTTATGTGGATTGTTCCCAACTCTTTTCAGTCATAACCTTCTTTGTGAGATGCAGACATGTATTTTTTAGTGGCCTATTGGGCATGTTCAAGGTGCCCTGCTGCCTTCTCAATATCCATGTGTTTATCCTTGATTGTCTTCTGGACCCTATCTCTGTCTGACTCTTTATTTTTATTAATGTGGTACCACAATTTTTCCAGTTCCTTTGATTCAAAATATAAAACATCCTTGCTGTCCTTCTTCTTTTCTCTAATATCCAGTCATCTTTTACATCTTGATAATTTTCTTTTTGCCTGATTATCAAACATATCCTGTGCTCTTCTGTTTCTGGGCCTTTCTTGGATCTCTTTTTCTATTATAATACCAATTCCCTCTACTGATTGAACTCCTATTCATTCTTTAAGGCCTGTATCATATAGTCTTCCTAAACACAATTCCCTGATCCAAAACTTGAAATAATCTGTTCAACTCTCTTCTTGAAGCACTTAACCTTATATGCTCTATACCAGGGGTCGGCCAACTTTTTCTGCAAAGGGCCCAGTAGGTTTGTTTTAGGGCTTGTGGGCCATATGGTCTCTGTTGCAATTACTCAGCCCTGCTGTTATAGTGCAAAAACAGCCATAGACAATAAGTAAAGTTGCAAATGAATGGGCATGGCTGTCTTCCAATAAAATTTTATTTGTGGACACTGAAATTTGAATTTCGTGTAATATTTCAAGTGAAATGTTATTCTTTTTATTTTTTTTAAGGACTTCTAAAAATCATTCTTATTTTGTAGGCTATACAAAACCAGGCAGTGGACTAGATTTGGCCTATGGGCCATAGTTTGCCAACCCCTGCTTTATAGCATTGCTATTGATATATGTGTGTCTTATTTGTATTTCTACTAAATTATATATTTTTGAGGGTAATTATTTTTTCATGTTTATCTATAAAACCACCACAAAAATAACACAATACTTAGCATAAAGGTGAACAATTAAAAGTACTTGTTGATGAATAACTAGTAGATGCTTAATTTTCCATAAAAGCCTTCACATAGTATGATTTCAGAAAAGAAATGAACTAAAACATTCAGTACCAGGAAAGATACTGATAAAGAAGGTAGTAATTTCTTAAAGTATCTCAATTTGTAGATATATCTTTATTTTTGTTGCTGTCAGCATTAGTAGAATTAAAATGACAACACTGTCTAACATTGTCAGTAAATTCAACTTTCTATTAATTCAGTAGTGATTAGTACGATCAATAATAAGATGCATAGCATCTTTTATTCACCAAAATCATCAAATTCTCAAATGGCTAGCATTAATTATCTTTCTTGTAGGTATTAAAAGCCTCATCTACCTAATATTTCTGTAATCAAATCTACAGTTGTTAGTGTTGTTGAGGCTTATTTGAAATGTAAGGATATTAGACTTAATAGCATCAGAGTTTTTTCTAATTTGTGGAACAGAATTCACTTTTAATTAGTTGGAGCCATATGGTTTGGATGCATTTTAATTGAATATAATTCTAAGAGATACTAACTGAATATGGAAGGTTGGGATGCTAAGGTTCTATCCATTTTAAGTCTATATCATAAATAGCAGCAATACTTTTCTATAAAAATGCTCCTAGGGACCACTCTCAGTGAATACTGAGGTGAGATGCCATTGGTTTGATCAAACATGATATTGGTTATATTCTTATAGTGTCTGGGAGCACTTCTAAACTGGGACAAATGCAATTTGTAGGTGTTCCCTGATTTTTTTTCTTTTCTTTCTGTTTTTTTTTTTTCTCTTTTCTGAGCTGTCAATACATTAGTTTATGTTTTGTTAACATCTATTTCTTTAGCAATGGAATAATTGATATAAAATATTTCCATAGAGAGCCCAACTTGATACTAAGTTGTCTAGAGATACTTGTTTTTTTTTCTTTTTTACAAAAAGATAATACATATTAATCTTTAACATGAAGCTGCACTCCTATAGTAGAAAAATGTTTTTTTATGGTATGGTTTTAAAATATCTATTTATAAAAAACTCTTATTTTTTGTATGTAGTATGTATCAGAATATAGAAAGCCTTGCATAGTCTGCTCTTTTATATAATTTCCAATCTAATGAAGATCTCGGCATTAAGGTGGTGATTATTAATGAATTTTAAAATAGTAGGATTACCCAGCCCATTAATAAAAATGGGATGAGAAATTTCAGAACAGAGTCAGCTCCCTCAACTGGAAATAGGAGTTAGTTACTTAAAGTTTGGGAATAGAGAAAAATATTTTGTACTAGAAGAAAAATTAAGTATGAATCCTGAAATTAATTTAAAAATTACTCAAATATACCAATGCAATAATTACTTATTTTGAACAAATTACTGACTATTGATCTGTTTTGTTTTGTTTTTTTTGTATGAAGGTCTCCTGATTTTCATGAAGAAATCAAGGTTAAACTCCCTGCTACTTTAACTGACCATCATCATTTGCTTTTTACTTTTTATCATGTTAGTTGTCAACAAAAACAAAATACTCCTCTTGAAACTCCTGTTGGATATACAGTAAGTATTTTTTGTTTAATATTTAGCTGTTCTATCTTAAAAATACTGTAATTACAGTATCTGAGATGAAGTTGGTGTTCATTATTACTTGAGTATTCCTTATCTGATTCCCCATAAGGGTTAAGAAAAGTCATCATAATAAGAAAATACTCATTACTGTAATTAACTAATGTAATTAATTACCTAACATGTGTGAACACTTAGGTGTTGGTCCTGATTATTATGTGTTTACCCAACAATACAGTATAAATACATTAATTTTAATGGTTCTTCAGAAGAGAATGGTTTCAATGTAAAATGATTAAAAGAGACCCTTGGCTATTAAAACTCTTTTGGCTTTAATTAAAAGCAATTAAAACTCTTGAGTATTTTTTGAAAATCATTATGATTGAATTGCAAAGGTAAACCTAAGGGGAAGGATATGGTGTCATGATGTGCTATCACAACTTTGTCAGAAAAATCATGCTGCTACCCAAAAGAGAAAAATCAACATTTGACTTTTTTTTGTCTCTTGCAATTTATGAAATGAATTTTGCTAAACGTAACAAAATAAATTTATGTTCATGCTTTTTAGTTTTGTTGTCAGCATTGACGTTTAATCAAACCTTTCCCTATATACATTGACACTGTTACCCCCATTTAAAATGGATCCACTTGGTGGCCTTTTTCTTCCACTCCAGCCTTTTCTGGGATAATAAGGACCATCTATAGATTTAAATATTGCATGGTTAGTTAGTAATAATAATGTTTTGGGGATCCTCCTTAATAAAATATTGTCAGGGGAGCTTTTCTTTAGAGGAATCATGAAACCTATTATTATTACTTAATCAAATCCCCTTGGTGTTTGGTGATGTGAGACAAATTTGGCTCATACCAAGTTCTTAAAACAGATTTGCCAAGTAATTACTTTTGTAACAAACATATTAAACTTAATATTGTTTCCTTTTTAATTAAAAGTGGATACCAGTGCTTCAGAATGGACGATTAAAGACTGGGCAGTTTTGCCTACCAGTCTCACTGGAAAAACCACCACAGGCTTATTCTGTACTGTCTCCTGAGGTCAGTATCTCTCCTGGTGAAACTCTCCAGATTGAATGAAATGAATTTTTTATTACAAAGGTATTTTTCTCAAACGAGACCTTGCTATTCTGTCTAGAAGTATGTAGATAATAATACTGTTTTCTCTTAGAATTAGAATTCTACTCTGTAGAATACTTAAAGCTTTTAATCTAAGTATATATTGATTTTTTTTTAAAGATTTTATTTATTTATTTGAGAGAGAGAATGAGATAGAGAGAGCATGAGAGGGGGGAGGGGCAGAGGGAGAAGCAGACTCCCCGCTGAGCAGGGAGCCCGATGTGGGACTCGATCCCAGGACTCCGGGATCATGACCTGAGCCAAAGGCAGTCGCTTAACCAACTGAGCCACCCAGGCGCCCTCAGTATATTGATTTTTAAACCAAAGTAATATGTGAAATATAAACTTACAAGGCAGATTTGGAGAATTTTCATATTGTAACATGAGAAGCTTTAAATAAGTGAGTTTTTTTGTTTTGTTTTGTTTTTAGTAGACAACATTTCATTAAAAATCTGGAGGAAGGAGTACAAACAAACAAATTTTTTAGAATATTTTTGTAATTGATGATCATGTACGTGAAAATAAAGTAGCTATAAACATGCAGTACAAGAGGGGCACCTGGGTGGCTCAAATGGTTAAGCGTCTGCCTTCGGCTCAGGTCATGATTCCAGGGTCCTGGGATCGAGCCCCATATCAGGCTCCTGGCTCCTGGCTCCTGGCTCAGAGCCTGCTTCTCCCTCTCCCTCTCCCTCTGCCCCTGCTCGTGCTCTCTCTCTCTCTGTATCTCTGTGTCTCAAATGAATAAATAAAATCTTTAAAAAAAAAAACATGCAATACAAGAAATATTAGCAGCTGTGATGATGACCTATGTGACTTGCAAGAAACAAAAACATTGAAAAAGCTCAATCAGGAATCAGTAGCCACTATTCAAAACCCAAAGTGCTTTTTGAAAGAACTGTTACAGGATGATTTGCACGTGACTCTTTGTATGCATTAATCTGAACTATGTCTTGGGAATGTTCTCCTGGTGGCATTTATTTTCAGAATAGAACTTGAAAAATATTCACAAATAAATTTGTATTGTTTTTATTTTTAAAAAACAGAGGCAACAGAAAGCTCCTGCTCCAACCTCCTTTCTTACTGTTCTCTGTCACTTACTCTGTCCCAGCCACACAGCACAGTGCCTTGGCTGTTCTCAGACGTGCAGAGTGCATTCCCACGTCGGGCCCTTTGCAGTTTCCTCTGCTGGTGGTGCTCCATCACCAGGCCAGCTTCTTCGTTTTATCCAGATAGCCCCTCAGATCCTGCTTCTTCAGACAGGGTATCTCTGAGCGCTTCATTTCAAGTGCAGCCTCCACCATTTTTTATCCCTTTACTTTGCTTTGTCCTCGTAGTACTTATCATTGACTTTATACTTCATATATCTTTGTTTATTTTCTACAGAGTATAAATTCCGGGAAGGTAGGGACTTTGTCTTTCTTGTGCATTGCTCTCTCTACAAGTACTTAGAATAGTGCTTTGCTCACAGCAGGCAGGCAGTATTTATTAAATGAATGAATAAAGACAGTAGGAAAGAAAGATGACTCCTTCCTTCCTCCCTTCCCCCCCACCCCACCCCCTGCCAAACCTTTCATTCAGTTTTCTAGGAACACATCTTCTCAGTAAAATCAGCTAGTCTTCTGTCAGGGATTGCATTATATATTTCAAAAGGAAATATTTTAAAAGAAAATCTGATTTTTTGGAAGTTATGCTTTTATTCTTAATTGATTTGCAAATGCAAGGTCGGCTTTCTAAAGGGAGGCTGATGGTTTTCTTCTAGCTACTATGCTGTGTATATGCTCATATATAAAGAATATGGGCATAATTTGGATTTGACTATAGATGTGTAGTATGACTGATAGATAAGTGCTTAAGCTTTTGTATTTTTTAAAATTTTATTTATTTGAGAGATCCTGAGCAAGGGGAGGGAAAGAGAATGGGGGAGAAGCAGGCTTCCTGCTGAGCAGGGAGCCCGACTTGGGGCTCGATCCCAGGACCCTGGGATCATGACCTGAGCCAAAGGCAGAGGCTTAAAAAATTGTGGTAAAATATACGTAATATAAAATTTACCATTTTAACCATTTTTAAGTGTCCAGTTCTATGGCATTAAGTGCATTCTCATTGTTTTGAAAACTAGCCTCTTAAAACTACTTTTAATTGAGGTATATGTATGTCTAAACAATACATTTTTACTTTGCTTATTTTTTGGATTTAATGAAAAGGGTATTATGCTGTATATAATCCTCTGGGGGGACTTGCTTTTTTCATTCAGCATGATATTGCCAAGACCTAGTGTTTCTTTATGATCACATATAATGTTTATATAGTGTATCTATATTTTGCTGGCATTTCATTGTACTTAGAATATAAATCTAGATTTTTCTCCATGACCTCCAAATCTCCAAAGGATCTGAGCTCTTCCACCTCTTTAACATCATCTTCTACCATCCCTGAGCCTGTTCTTCGGTACTTAGAGCTTCTTCTAAATTTTTTCCTGCTTCTAGGCCTTTGAATTTTCTTTCCTCTTCCTGAACTTCACATGGCTGGATTCTTTTCATTTTCTGAATTTTATATAAAATATTACCTCCTCATAGAGATCTTTGCTTACTCCATGAATTTCCAACCCTTCCTTCTACCTCACTGCTGATATACTCTATCATTTTTAATCCAATTTTATTTACTTAATACTTACCACTATCTGAAATTATATTATTTATTTCCTTACTTTTCTCTATAAGAAATGGTGGGTAAGCTCCCTGAGAGCAGACCTTGTGTTTGCCATGGAACCTTAGTACCTAGAAAACTGTCTAGAGCCTTCAATAAATATTTGTTGTATGAATTTAAAAAGTTACAGGATTGTTGGTATCAGCAAAACTAAAAAATGAAAATTTTGTTGAGACCATACAAAGTTTCTCAAAGTGATTAGCCATTTGGCAGTGAGGAATATCTGTTGTGTTCTTTTCCCCACAGAAACACTGGCCATTTCTTTGCATCTCCCTCATCCCCCTCCCCCATTGGGCATTTCACTGGCATGTGGAGAGAGAGGACTCTAGGCTGTGAAATACAAACCCATTTGCCAAATCCCATCCATAGTTCCTCCCATTCCAAAGCTTGAGTGCCATTTTTCGATGAACCACCAATGACATGCAGTGAAGGATATTACCTAACTACCTTTTAAGAAACTATTTTTAGTATCTCATTTGCCCAAGTTCACTGGGTATTTCACTTCTCTGACCTAAGTTAGAGTTGGACTAAATCTGTGACATCCTGAGTAGCGCATTAATTTTAACTACATTAGTTGAATGTGGTTGATACATCTGTGTCCTCATTTCTACAAAGAGCATACCAGGTTGTACCAAGCATAGTCAGGACATGCCATGCCAACATAGATGTATTTAACTATTGACATGGAAGTGTATAATATATGACTGTAGTATTTTTATTTTATTTATTTTTGTTTTTAAAGATTTTATTTACTTGAGAGAGAGAATGAGTGAGAGAGCACCAGTGGGGGTCGGTGAGCAGAGGGAGAGGGAGAAGCAGACTCCCTGCTGAGCAGGGAGCCGGACACGAGGCTGGATTCCGAGACTCCAGGATCATGACCTGAGCCGAAGGCAGATGCTTAATTGTCTGAGCCACTCGGGTGTCCCTCATCTTCATTTAAAAAATGTCTTATTTTATTTTATTTAAATTCAAGTTAGTTAACATATACTGTGTAATATTTTTAATAGATACATTTTGTTTCATCTAAAAAGAAGGAAAAAATTATAGGATTACTGATTAGCAAAACATAAAAAATGAAAACTACATGGATCAACCAAGAATTTAATACTGAATTAAATTCTTGTACATCCATTGCAGTGTTGCAGTAGTTAAGAGGAGTAATACAGATTTCAATATCCCACCTCAGTATCCCAGTAGAACATTCATTCATTCATTCATTCATTTATTGAGAGGAAGAGAGAGAATCTTAAGCAGGCTCTACACCCAGCACGGAGCCTGATGCAGGGGTCAGTCTCACAAACATGAGATCATGACCTGAGCGGAAATCACAAGTAGGACGCTCAACCTACTGAGCCACCCAGGCGCCCCCCAATAGAACATTTATAATAAAAATATAAAAGCAAACAATATAGTGACAACCAAACTCACCCCTCAAGTACACATCAGTAATTGGGTGATAAATAGTTTGGAAAATATACATCAAGTTTAGCAAGGTTAACTTTTGAAGGGTAGGGATTATTAAAGTTTTTATTGTTTCAAATCTCATATACTTTCAAAAGGCAGTATATCGTTATTTTCAGGGTTTCATTCCTGGCCTCACCATTTATTAGTTGTGTAACCTCAGGTAAGTTTCTTAATCTCTCTGCTATGGACTGAATTATGTCTCCCCACCTCATCCCCCCTCCCCCCGCAAATTCATATGTTGAAGTTCTAACCCACAATGTGCTAGTATTTGGAGATGAGATCTATGGGAGTTAATTAGGTTCAAATGAGTTTCAGATGAGGTCAGGAGGGTGGGGCCTCATGATTAGTGCCTTAAGAAGAGACATCAGAGTACTGTTACTGTTAGCTGTGTAAGAGCACAGTGAGAAGGTAGCCGTCTGCAAGCTAGGAAGGGTTTCTCACCAGAAACTGACCATATTGTCACCTTGATTTTGGACTTCTAGTCTCCAACCTGAGAAAATAACTTTCTGTGGTTTAAGTCACCCAATGTATGATACTTTGTTATGGCAGCCCGAGCCAACTAAAATATTCTCTGTGCCAGAATTTTCTCATCTGTAAGTTGAGAATAATTAATGCTTCTAAGAAGGGGTTACGTTGGTGATCAAACGGTAGTAGTCTGTAGAGTGCTTAGAGTGGTGCTAGGCACATGAAAAGTGCTAAAGAAATGTTCACCACTATCGTGGCATTCCTATTGCCACACTGCTTGTTAGAGTTTTAAGACAATAGTTCTTACCTTAGCATGCATCAAAATCACCTGGAGAGGTGTTACGCCAGCTGTTGAACCTCACCCCCAGAGTTTCTGATGCAGGACGTCTGGGTTGGGGCTTGATTATTTACATTTCCAATAAGTGCCCAGATGACGTTTATGCTGCTGATCCTCAGATCAGACTTTAAGAACCACTATATTTAAAGCAGTCTGTGTTCATTTTATTTGTGTATCCTATTTTTTTAAGCTGAAAATAAGTGCTTTGGGTTGAAAGAGCTAGTACTAATTCTTGCTTTGAATAGTTTGAATTTACTGCACCATCTTTCTTTTACAAAAGTTTCAAAACCTGTATTTACCTTAGTAGAGAAATTGCATTTCTTACCAACTTAGTCTTGAATTTTGTTTTTTTTTTTTTTTTTTTAATTTATTTGAGAGAGAGAATGAGAGAGAGAGAGCATGAGAGGGGGGAGGGTCAGAGGGAGAAGCAGGCTCCCTGCTGAGCAGGGAGCC